AAACTGATTGACTCATGTCCTGACTGATGGATAGTCAACAGATACACAATTGTCCTGACTTGGCAATCAACAAATCAAATGAAGGAAAATTACTCAGAAAATCTTCCCATGACTCAAACTATTTTTCCAGAAATGGTACCAGAGCTCATTAAATTATCTTTAATTTTTTTCTTTAATGCTACCCATTTCTTGAATTGTTTCTTCTCCTCTTTTTAAGGTAAATGCAAGTAATTTTCAACGGCTAAATATATGCCTATTACTATCTTAATCTCACAGAACTTGGACTAACACCTTTCATAATTTCTTCTCTCCCACTCTAAAAAATAGCCTTAGTGTCTACCTCAGGAGATGGTAAAACTTCCTCAAGATTAGCAGCCTAGATAAAATCTGACCCAGTTTTGTCTACTTTCCATACCTAACAAATTGGCTGATTGTTGCACTTTCCTTATCGATCCAAAGATTTTTCTATCGCTAACACTGATCAAAACCATAAGAATACTAAAAAATGATGCAAATACAGATGTTAGAGTTTGAATGTTAAGCCTCTACAGTAACTCCTGAAGTATTATATAAAAGTTTCAATAACCTTTTCTTATCAAAGGGATGACTTATAGCAATACTTCTTTGGCCTTTATTTTTGAAATCAAAAAGCCATCTTTGTTACTATTGCCTCAGAACAAAACATTTGCAAAATGCACATAAGTTTTAGGTTTACTGATGGCTGCTTTGACTTTTCAAGTCTTAAAGACAGTAATGCCTAAACGATGTGGCATAATCTGTATCTTTGTATGAAAGAATATCCTTCTGAAATGTGTGTTTACTGTATATATACATATACACGTTACAGTGAACATACTCATATGAAGCTGGTTGCTCCGTAGCAAGCTGTATCATTTCTGTAGGGGAGCATGTGTATCTGGGTACATATTCCAAAAGCATATTGACAGCAGTTACTAACTGTTCAAAACTACACGGTCTAATTTCAGTTTATCAATATTAAAAAGAAGCATTAGTTTAGATTATATTGTACATACTGCAAAAAAAAAAGGCAAAAAACCCCAGTGCCAATATTTTAAAAAATGATTGTAAAAACCATATTAGAACAGTCATTATGTAGTTGCCTGTAAGGTATCCCTCTCACCTCAGACTAAACAATGATACATCTTTGCCAGCAACTGAGCATGAAAAAGTCAAAAGCATCAATTGTCATTACCCTTCCCAGAACTTTACTTGCCCATTATAAGAACCACTTTCACGTATTACAAAAACAAAACAAAAAACCTTTAATTATGCTTACTTAAAAAAAAAAAAAGCACATGCCATATGCCTAGTTTAATACAATAAACTGATCAGAGTAAAAGTTATGTGCATTGTATCTATTGGCTTTAGGAGAGCATCACAATTCCGATTTGCTTGTAATCTATTGAATTACGAAAGTGTGCTAGAAATGTAATTCCAGATATTACAAAGCTTTGCATTTACTGAGAAGCAGAGATTAGTGTATTCTACAGGCAGTCACTTGAATCCTTCTGCTGCTATTCTTAAATTATTTCTATCACATCTTTTAATTTAGTGACCTCAAAGTGTTTTTTGAATAGGCATCTTTTGTTCACTTTGCTACACTGCAATTAATGTATCATCACTAGCTGCTTGTTAACCCTTCTTTTAGAAATTATTTAAAATATTTTAGCCTTTCACTTGCAACAAATACTTTTAAACGATTTTCAGCGTAAATCTGTAGTTAATGGCATTGCCAATTATCTTCAGATTTCAAACAGTTTCTCACCATCATGACATTGCCCTGTTAGAACGCAGACGTGTTATGTTGCAGCCCAAGCTAGCTACAAAATTATCTCTTGTGATTCTAAAACTTCTGTACTAACCTTACTACTAAAGTTATGGTGAGATCAGCTAACTTATAAAACGGCCTAATGTTTAGCTTTCATTCTGCTCCCCAAACTGTCAGGCTTCTTTTTGCTACTATGAACATCCTTTCTTTCGAAGGACTATACTTACGGGACGTTCAGTTTAAAACGCCTCACTTAATAACATGTATTTTGAGGTGTTATTGAGCATGATTTCATAAATAATAAGCTTCATTTGCTTAATCTTGTGTTAACAATAACGTCCATCATTGCAGAGAGCCATAGCTAAACTAATGAAAAGGTTACATATATGAAACAACACTGCTTAAACAATTTTGCTTTTTAAATACTACAAATAGGCTCCTGTCTACTCTGTACCACGCAAACTATTTTTGGCCTGTTGCAAAATATGCTCAGGAACTGTAGCAATATCTTGATTACAGCTGTGAATAGACACGAAAAATACGGACTTGACAAGAAGTGTTCTAATTCTCGAGATTTGGAGCACTCATTATATTTGGCCTTTAAAATTACTTTCAATATAGCAATCATTAGGCCTCATAATACAACATGTAAATGATTTACAATACACTAATGTTCACTAGATATCCTTCCACGCGCGCACACTCTGTCCACCTTGTTCACATTTCTCAAATGAAACTGAAAAAAACAACAGCACTACTTTAGCTTGTTAATTGTTAACTACGAAGGGTTTCACTCTATTAATTAAAATATGTTTTAATAAAAGGAAACATAGCGCATTTTGATAGCAGCCTTCTAAGGCTGAAAAGTATTTACATTGTTGCATTTTAGGGCTGCTGTGAAAGCCGATTTTGTGCTATTCAGGGACCACAATAATAACGCTTTAAAATTCCTCACTGGGATGCAATGTAGTCCTTTTGATGGAAAGACTGTCTTTCTCATTCGGCAGAAATAAATCCATTCATTTGATCATGTAGTCATTGAGGGCAATACAAAACAAACCAAGTGTGAGAAATTCTATGTGATGAAGTAAACAAAACAAAACCCCCCAAAAAAGGGGGGAAAAAAAAAAACATTTCCATGACAAAAAGATTCTTTGTCCTTAATCTACCCACCATATGCAAGCGTTTCTTTTTAGCATATCTCTTGTTCTAATCTCGGGTGACATGGCTACATAGATAAGATTCACAAAACAAAACAAAAACGTAGTTTAACAATTTTTTTTTTCAATTTATTAACTCACCAGAAGTATCATAATGAAGTAGCTGGGTTTTACTTTTCTGTATTGAAATGGATTCCAAACATTTAAAAGTTTATAATACCAGTGATAAATTCTTAAATCTAGAACCCACCCCGGCCGAGACTGTGCTTAACTAATCTTGCTTACGTAATGAAATAATAATTCTCGTCTGCTTGCCTACGCTATTTTACGCTACTACTGTTTCCTAAGAAAATTAACATTTAGAAATGCACCGTTTTGGTCTTCAGCTGTGACAGAAGGAAGCATTTCTCTGTGTGCCTGTTATTGTCAGTACCCAAGTGGGTTTTTCCAGAAGCAGCGGTAGTGGCCCCCTTCCTTGGACAGCAGGGACTCACTCCCCAGCTCCCCAAATACCCTGAGAAGGAGGAGGAGGAGGAGGTGGGTAATGCTCGCCTAAAGATTTGCCAATCTGACAGATGTTTTAACCTGATGAAGTGGATTCATGCTGCCTTAAGCTTCAAGGTTGTAAAGTTCAGATACAATAGTCAAAATCCTTCTCAGGCTTCAACTTTCCTGCCTTTCTCTCCCTACAGATGCAACTTAAAAGTCATCAGTTTTAAAGCAGGAGAATGACTTTTTTTTTCCTTTTTTGGGGGCAGAAGGGGAAAGAGGAGGATAAAGGAGTGGAGCAAGAGGCCTAGGCAAAAAACAGAAGACATAGGAGCTCCCCCTTGGTTATGCAAGTATCTAAAAAAGCAAGAGAGCTGTTTGCAAAGAGGAAAGGAAAAACTTTCAAGTGAAGGCTCTCAACTTAGCCCAGGAAAAGTGAGGATGGGCTGTGGCGTGCAAAGGCACACTGTGATGGAAAGGACTATGAAAAGGAGTGGAGCAAGAGGCCTAGGCAAAAAACAGAAGACATAGGAGCTCCCCCTTGGTTATGCAAGTATCTAAAAAAGCAAGAGAGCTGTTTGCAAAGAGGAAAGGAAAAACTTTCAAGTGAAGGCTCTCAACTTAGCCCAGGAAAAGTGAGGATGGGCTGTGGCGTGCAAAGGCACACTGTGATGGAAAGGACTATGAAAAAAAAAAAGGTAGAAGAGGAACCTGCAACCTTCTTCTCAAAAAAA